CCTGGCCCCTACTTATGCAATTGTTAAAATTATTATTTTTTGGTGGGGGTGGTTTGAGACAGGGTCTCACTATGTAGTTGAGACTGACCTGGAACTCACTATGTAGCACAGACTGGTCTCGAACTCACAGAGATCCTCCTGCCTCAGCCTCCCAAGTGCTGGGATTATAGGCATGCGCCACCACACCTGGCTGTAAACTTCTGTTTGATGATTTTGAGGTGACTGAATCCCTTGAAGCTGCGGGCAATAAAGCTGATTTTTGCTCTTACTCATGTCAATGATCTGTCCTGAGACTCCCCCGCCCAAGTGGTCACGCTTCAAAAATAAAAAAGGCTTGGGGATGTGGCTAAATGTAAAGGCCCTGGCTTCAATCCCAGCACTTGGGAGGCTGAGGCAGGAAGATTGCCTCGAGTTTGAGGCCAGCCTGGGCTACATAGTGCATTCAGGACCAGCCTGAACTAAGTATCAAGACCTTGTCTCAAAAATAAAAATAAAAAAAAACAAAAGAAAAGAAAACATAGGTGTTTGCATGAATGTGGATTAGGTATGGATTTTTTTTTTTGGTACCGGGAATCAAACTCAGGTCCTTGCACTTGCAAAGCAGGTGGCGGAACCACTGAGCTAAATCCCCACCCCCAAGGTAGTGGATTTTTTAAAATATCACACTAAAAGCACATATAATGCTGGGAAAAACATAAACTGAACTCCTTCAAAATTACCCAGATTTTGTTTCCAAAAGACACCATCAAGAAAGTGAACGATCTTTTGCAAATGGAAAAGGGATCTAAAGATGGAGGGAGAAGAGGGGAAGGGAAGGCAAAAAAATGAAGATGTGTTATGTACATGTATTAGTGTTTGTTTGGTTTTGTTTTGTTGCTGTTTTGCTTTTCAAGACAGGGCCTTGAACTCCCTACGTAGCCGAGGCAAATCATATTTCTGTTAAGGAATTTGTATCAAGCATACAATAAAGAGCTTTTAAAACTCTATAATAAAAGGACAAATACCCCACTAAAATGGGCAAAGGACTCGAATAGATATTTCTCCAAGGGATCTACACAAATTTTCCACAAGCACATGAGAAGGTGCTCATTCTCACTAGTCTCTGAGAAAGTGCAAATCAAAGCCACAGAAGATACTTCAGTCCCAGAGGGATGGCTTAACTCTGGGGGGCCTGTGTAGGAGATGCTGTGCCTGTGCCCACTGTAAGGGACATTTTAAACAGAGTCGATCAGGCCAGGGATCTAGCTCAGTGGTTCTGCCACTTGCTTTGCAAGCTCAAGGTCCCGAGTTTGATCCCTGGTACCAAAAGAAAAAAAACAACAAAACAAAAAAGACAAAAAACCAGAGTTGATCACTGTTTCAGTCCTGTTACCATTCTGTGTGACACTGGTGCTCATGTCTGGTATTGCTCTCCAATGGGGGACCTTCAGCTTGCTCTGAGGGTCCCTGGATGAACGTTGTGGGGAGGGGATGGGATTCAGCAAGGTTTGCCCCCTGGTCCTATAGGGCTGGCCCTACGCTTAGGGAGGTCCTCCGTAGGGGACAGTGGGAGTTACCCTTGTGTCACCTTGCCATCCTATATTCCAGCCTGGTCAATTTCTATTAGAACTTTAGAATCGCTTCTCGGCCTTTTGGCTAAGATCAAGTGTAGAACTTTAGAATAGCTTGAATGCAACCACCTCTGTCCTGACCCCGGCCAGTCTGGCAGGCCCCAGAGACACATCCTGCAGGCTCCTTCCCCTTCCAAAAAGAATCAAATGGGTTGGGCCGGGGATTTAGCTCAGTGGCACCACGCCTGCTAACAAGCTCAAGGTCCTGAGTTTGATCCCTGGAATCAGACGGAGAACTTCCCTAGGGCCCCACCCTAAACTGTGAGCTCTGCTTCAGTGTAATGAAGCTGGTAGATTTCAGGGGACTCCCCCACCATCTGGGAGTCCAGGGGCCTCTGCAGGGTAAGGTTCTGTTTAGTGTGGCGTGGTCACTGTGGCTTCAGAGTCCAAGCCAGGGGTCCCCCAGCCTTCCCCAGACCTCCTCTGAGTCTGCGTCCCCTAAGTGCAAAGCTGATCACACAGCCTAGTCACTATGTTCAGTCTTCTATTTTTGTTTTATTTTTTTCAGTACTGAGCTACATTCACAGCCCTTAAAAAGTTTTTTTTTAAATTTTGAGACAGCATCTTGCTAAGTCATTAAATTGGCCAGGCTGGGCTCCAACTTGTGATCCTCCTGCCTCAGCCTCCCAGAGTGCCAGGATTACAAGTGTGCACCACCACACCTGGCTCAGGCCCAGTTTTGTTAGGGCCTATGGGAGTTGTTAATGAGGAGAGAGGAGGGGTAACTGGGACCAGAGTTAAAAAGGTTATCATCCTACAGAGAAGGGTGGCATTTGCTCAAACTAAGAGGGAGCCACCTGCTCAAGCCCATAAATCTTTAGGATTTAATAGTAAGTAATACCTAATTAATACACCCTCACCATGACAACAGTAGTTCCCACCACCAATCCAGCTGCAGGTCTGCCCAGCACCTTGAGATCTTTGCAGGTGCATGGCTGTTCCTTTTTCCTGGAACTTTCTGTCCTGATGACCCTTGTCTTGACCAGGTTGGCCTCCCAGTGTCAGCTTTGAAGGCCCTTCCTCCAGGAAGGCCTCCCAGACCTCCGGGTTGAGGCCTCCATCTGCTGTGGCTTGTTTCTCCCCGCAAGCTCCCTGAGGCTTTGCAGCTTTCTGGTGCGAACACAGCACTCAGCACCTTCCACAGCCCAGGATGATAATAACTGGATGATAGTGAGAGCCAGCACGGTGGTGCTCAGTTCTGAGTGCTGTCTGCGGAGTGACTCAAAGCAGGGTGACAGAATACAGTGCTCACCATCCAAATCGCTTCCTTATTCCCAGGGCCTGGAGTCCTTCAGAAACGTTATCGTTTCTTGTTTGTTTGGTTTTGGTTTTTTTTTTTTGGTACCAGGGATTGAACTCGGGTCCCTGTGCTTGCAAAGCAGGCGCCGGAACCACTGAGCTAAATCCCAGGCCCCACGTTATGGTTTCTTGAAAGCTCCTGATGGACCCTTGTCCCTGTCCATCTCCCCAGCTCTTGGCATCAGTCTGCAACCCTGTGGAGTCCTTGGCATGGCCAGGGTGCCCTCTGCTGGGGCAGCAGGGACACAGTCTGTCTGGGCTTTCATGTTGCTGAGGGGCTAGAGACCCTGGTGTCCCCTCCCCTCTGTATCTGTTCCAGGGAGTCTTTTATTTTTGGCTTTGGGGCCAGGGATCGAACTCAGGACCTTGAACTTGCCAGGCAGGTGTAGCGCCATTGGGTTAAACCCCTGGTCCTTCCAGGAACTGAGTCTTGATGGGGCCCCTCTGCTCGGCCTCCCTGCCCAGGCTGCCAGATTCATCTCCCAAAGCACCCTCCTTTCAGACCCCAACCTGAAGACTTCCCTGGCTTGGACTTCCCATACCCCAGCAGGACTTCTGGTCTGCACCCCTTTGCCAGTCCTCCCAGCCCACAGGCCCTCCAGCTCACCCGTCCGTTCAATGCTTCACCTGCCCCACTGCACCGCACTTACCCTGGCTGCCTCCAACCTCGCTCCCCACCCAGGCTGTCTCCCAGGCCACACTCTGCACTCCCTACTCTAGCAGCCTCCCTGATGCCAACTGTCCTAAAACAATGCCCCTCCTCCGGGGCCCACTCTCCATGGTGCCCAGAGCACTCCAGGATCAAGTTCAAGTTCTCAGGGGCCCCTTGCCTCCTCTGCTCCCCTTCCCTTTCTTTTGCTCCAGGACTGACCGAGTTTGGTCACTTCCACCTACTCCACCACCTTGGCAGTCGCCACTGCCTGCAAGATGACACAGGCAGAGTCGTCCCACCTCCTCCGGGGTGCCCCTGATGTCACAGATTTCCGAGAGCTCAGACCCCCTGGGGTTATCTGCCTTGGCATCCCCAGTGCCTGGAGGAGCACACGAAAAGGGCTTGCTGCAACAAAGCACCATGACGTGGGTGACTTTCATCCCCAGAAATGTGTTATCGCATAATTCAGATGGAAATCAAAGTGTGGGCAGGGCCGACTGCTTCAGGGTTTCCTTCTGACCCTATCCCATGCCTCTCAGCTTTGGGGGCTGTCGGCATCCTCGGTGTTCCTTGGCACATGCACACCTCACTCCGGTCCCCGCCTCTGTCCTGTTCACCCCTTCTGGCGGGCCACTCTCTTCCCATACTCCCCTCCCCACCCCTGCACACCCCACAGCCCACCCAGCTCATACAGGCCATGCCTGTGTCTCTGCTTTCTCTTTTTATAAAGACACCAGTCGTTGGATTAGGGTCCACCCTAATCCAGATGAGCTCATCTTGACTAATTACATCTGCAAAGATCCTGTTTCTAAATGTGGTCACATTCTGAGCTCCAGGTGGACAGGAATTTGGGGGGAACACTGCCTGTCCCTGTACAGGCGCTTGGTGAGTCTTTGTGTCCTGATGGCTTCTCAGCCTCCAGGTGCTGCCCCAGACAAGGTCTTTCTGGCCTCAGCTTCTCCCTCTCAGCCTCCCTCTTCCTTTAAGATCTGTGTGTGTATACCATTTTCCGCTGCATTTAGCATTTCTGCTGGACATAAATCTACTCTAGGAAGTTTGCCTCGTTTCATAGGTAGACTGTTGTATAAACTTGGCATTCAAATAAGTTCAGGTCTCTCCTAAAATAAAATGGAAACAAGAATCTATCTTTCCACTGAAAGCCCCCAGCTCCAGCCCTAGCCCCCTCCACAGTCGGACTTGGTGTGCCAGGCACCTCCTTTCCCTGGCTATTTCCATACCTCTCCTCTGTGCTCTCTAGTGCCTAGCTTCTGCCCCGTCTGGTCACTCCCGTGTCGATGCGTACCTTTAATCCTCAGCTGCCTGCATCATCCAGCACCATGGACACCACCACCTTCAAAGCTGAGGGCTAGCCTAGGCGTCTCGGTTCTAGCTACCACCTGCATGTTGGTGACCCCACACCTTGTAAGTCCAGCCCCTACCTGTTCTTGTATGCCTCAAAGGTCCTTAAAACCCGATGTGGCCAGGGCTTGTATGACACTGTCTTCTTTGTCTGCTGCTGCTAATCCTGGGCTTTCTTTATCTCTCTTTTTTAAGGATGATGGGAATGGAACTCAGGATTTCATAATGCCTCTGAGCTACACCATCAGCAAACCTGGGCACTTTGAACTGTTTCCTGTTTCAAAAAAAATCATCCCTTAGGTGCCTGCGCAGAGTTCAACGCATGGCCTTGACCTTCCATCGCTGCCGTGCCTCGTGTCCAATGCATAACCGAGTTCTGCTCAAAGCTGACCTTTGTCCTCATCTCTCTTCTCCCCTCTTGCCAGCCACTGTCACCTTTGACCAGCTTAGACTTCACAACCTTCAGCACTGTGACTAGACTGGTCTTCCTGATAAGGAAATATCTTACCCTACTGCCATCCCCAATGAAACCCTGCAGTGGCTTCCCCGGAATTGCGGATGAAGATGAGGCCCTGAGCTGCCGTAAGAGCTCTCAGAAGCTCAGCCCTCAGCACCCCTCCAGCCCCAGTCACTGGTACCACGGCCTCTGCTTGCCCCTTTCTGCCTCTGAAGTTCTCCCTGCCTGGAACACTATCCTGACTGCCTGGGTGACTCTTCTCATCCCAGATAGTGGCTCTCATGTCACCTTCAGAAAGCCCTCCTTGACCTCCTCAGCAAGGCCAGTTCCCCAAATAGTCCTCCTCCCAGCACAGTCTACCTCTCCTTTTTTTTTTGTTTTTTGAGACAGAGTCCCATTTCTGTAATTCAGGCTGGCCTTGAGTGCACTATGTAGCCCAGGTGGGCCTCAAATTTGAGGCAGTCCTTCTACCTCAGTCTCCCAAGTGCTGGGGTTATAGGTAGGTACCACCAGGCTTGGTTTATTTCACCTTTCTACAATTGTACATCGACACTGATTTGAAATAGGATTTAGACACATCTTTTCTTTTTGTTACTGGGGATCGAACTCATGACCTTGCAATTTCATGACAGGCGTGTTGCACTGAGTTAAATCCCGGGCTGAGACACCTTTTTCTGTATAGGGCCACTCAGTAAATATTTTAGAATTGTGGACAAAAACCACCACAATAAAAACACCACAAAAAAAAAAAAACCAAAAAAAAAAAAAAAAAAAAAAAAAAGAAAGAAAAGAAAAGAAAAGAAAATGGTTGCAGCTACTCAGCTCCTGGTGTAAAGCCATAGACAAGTGAAAACAATGAGCATGCTTGTGTCCCAGGAGACTATTTAAGGGTATCTGATTTGGATTATCACCTGAGTATGCATAATTCTTTTTTTTTTCCCATTAAGATTATTGTTACTTTTTAGGTATATAGTACAGTTACATTAGTCATTTGGGATCTTGTACCTCTACATGATGTTTCTTGGTTCTTATTTTTCCCCATACCCCTGCCCTCCTTTCACCCCCTCCACCCTTCCCTATTTACAGAGACTTTGTTTCTATTTTTGCCTTTTGTTCACATTTTTTCTTTCCCTTCTTTCCTTTCCCCTCCCCCTCCGACTTCCCCTACTCCTTTAGCCCTTTTCTTCCTATTTCACATTATCAATTATACAGTTTGAACTTTATTTATACTTTTAGTTTTTCACACCAGAGAAACTATTTGGTATTTACTATTTATTTACGCATATGTCCTATTTATTTCACTTAAGAGTACGGCCTCAGTGTGCATCCGTTTAGCTAGTTTCTCATTCTTTATGGCTGAGTAGTACTCTATTTCATAGAAAAACTAAATTTTCTTTATTCAGTTTCCAGTTGATGGACAAATGGGCTGTTTCCTAGTTTTAGATATTACTGTGCTGCTTTAAACATGGGTGCACATACATTGCTTTGGTATGATTATTTTAATAATCCAATTTTTTGGGGGTATACCGGGGATGAAACTCCAGACCTTGTGCTTACAAAGCAGATCACACCACCGAGCTAAATCGCCAGCCCCTGGTATGATTCTTTTAATTCTTCTGGAAAGATACCCAGCAGAGGGATAGTTGGGTCAAATGCGACCTCTAATCCTAGTTCTTTGAGGTATCTTCATATTGATTTCCACAGTGGTTGCACCAGTCTGCACTCCCACCATCAATGGGGAAGGGTTCCTTTCTCCCCACAGCCCCGCCAGCATTAGTTATTGGTTAATATCTTGATAGCAGCCATTCTTTCTGGGGTGAGGTGGAATCTCAGTGTTGTTTTCATCTGCATCTCTTGCATGATCAGTGATGTTGAACATTTTTTCATATGTTTATTTGCTGCTTTTACTTGTCTGAAAAGTGTGTTCATTTCAGATGCCCATTTTTGAATCAGGTCTTTATATTGGGGCGGTCTGATTTTTTAAAAATTCTTTATATATTCTAGATAGTAGACTTTTGTCTGAGGAACAGCTGGTAAATTTTTTCCCCCACATTGTAGGCCGTCTCTTAGCTCTGTTGGTGGTTTCTCTTGCAGCACAGCTTTTCAATAAGATGAGATCCCAGTTGTTGATTCTTTGCACTAGTTCCCATGCTACTGAGGATTTGTTCATAAAGTCTTTTCCTATGCCAATGTCTTCGAGAGTTCTAACTTATCTTCCAGCAAGTTTAGTGTTTCTGTTTTAATATTTATTATTACTTTTTGGTACTGGGGATCGAATTTGGGTCCTCGCGCTTGCAAGGCAGGTGGCAGAACCACTGAGCTAAATCCCCAGCCCTCTGTTTTAATATTTAGATCTTTAATCCACCTTGATTTTTAGTTTAGTGCATGGTGAGAGATAGGAGTCTAGTTTTAACCTTTGGCAAGTTGAAATCCAATTTTTCCAACAATGTATTGAAGAGGCCATCGTTACTCCACTGAAGATGTTTGGCTCCTTTGTCAAAGATGAGTTAGCTGAGTACATCTGGAGTTGTTTTGGTATCTTCCAATATAATCCACTGATCCTTGCATCTGTTTCTTTGCCAGTATCACGCTGTTTTTATCACAGTGGCTTTGTAGCATAGTTTCAAGTGGGGATTGTGATACCCTCTGCCATGTCTCTGTTGCCTAGAATGGCTTTTGCTATTCTAGGACTCTTCTGGCTCCAAATGAATTTTTGGATTGTTTTCTCTAGTTCTGTGAAATATACTGCTGGGATTTCAATTGGGATTGTGCTGAATCTATATAGCAGTTTTGTAAGTATGGCCATTTTCACTGTCTTTTCTTCCTACCGAGGGACAAGGGACGTCTTTCTATTTTCTTATATCCTTTTCAATCTTTTTTTATAGTGTTGCAGTTTTCAGTGTAGAGGTCTTTTGCTTCCTTCATTAGACTGATTCCTATATATTTCATTTTTTGGGGATGCTATTGTGAAAGGAATTGTTTACCTAATTTCTCTCTCAGTCTGTTATTTGTGTACAAGAAGGCTACTGATTTTTTTTTTTGCTATTGATTTTTGAGTGTTGACTTTGTATCCAGCTACTCTACCAAATCTGTCAATTAAGTCTAGAAGTCAGTGGGCAGAGTTTTTTGGGTCTTCTATGTAGAGTATCATACCATCAGCAAATAATGACAGTTTAATTTCTTCCTTTCCCATCTGTATTGCTTTTATTTCTTTCTCTTGTCTAATTGCTGTGGCTGATATTTCCAAAACTATATTGAACAGGAATGGTGATAGTAGACTTGTCTTGTTCTTTAGTGTGAAAGTTTTCAGTTTTTGACCATTTAGTATGATGTTGGCTATTGGTTTTTCATAGATAGGCTTTATCAGGTTGAGATAAAGACCATTTATTCCAGTTTTCTGCAGTTTTTATCATGAATGGGTGTTCAATTTTGCCGAATGCTTTTTCTCTATCTATTGAGATGATCATATGGTTTTAGTCCTTGACTCTGTTGATATAGTATATTACATCTATGATTTACATATGTTGAACCATCCTTGCATCCCTGGAATAAATCTGACTTGATCAGGGTGTATGATCTTCTTGACGACCCTCTGTATTGTGTTTGCCAGTATCTTATAGAGGATTTTTGCATCTATGCTCATTAGTGAGATTGGCCTGTAGTTTTCTTTTGGTTTGGTCTTTCTTTGGTTTTGGAATCAAAGTAACACCTGCATTCAGGAATGAATTTAGAAGTATTGCTTCCCTTTCAATTTCATTGCAAAGTTTAACGAGTAGTGGCAATAATAGTTCCTTTCTAAATGCTTTGTAGAAGTCAGCAGTGAAGCCATCAGGACCTGGGCTTTTCTTTGTTGGTAAATTTTTAATTATGTTTTCAATTTCACTGTAATTGGATATTTAGAATTTTATCTTCTTCATTCAACTTCATTCATTCCGATAGATCTAGAAATCTGACCATTTCTTCTGTTTTCCATTTTATTACAGTATAGGTCCTCAAAGTAGGTATTGATGATCCTCTGGATTTCTGCTGGATCTGTTGTGATGAACCTAGAAACTTCACACTAACTTACATTCTTAGCCCTTTTTAGAGACAAGATCTTGTTAAGTCACTAAATGCCCAGGCTGCGCTCAAATGTGTGATCCTCCTACCTCAGCCTCCCAGAGTACTGGGATTATAGGCATGTGCCATCATGCATGACTGTGTTATATTTTTCTAATACAGGTACTATTAGCTATAATTAAGAGAAAACCAGTATCAGTCTAAACATTTAAATTTACTATTAAAATACTTTAATATATGGTTTAGGTTTTGATGTACAAAATCTGACTTGGGGAAAATAAACATGGCAGTTAATAGTCACAAAGGAAAAATGTAGACAAAGCTACAACTCATAAGGGCAAAAACTAGCTGGGTGTGGTGGCTCATGCCTATAATCCCAACATTCAGGAGGCTGAGGTAGGAGGATTGCCATGAGTTTGAGGCCAGCCTGGACTACAAAGTGTATACAAGTCAGCCTGAAGTACACAGTGAGACCCTGTCTCAAAAAACAAAAACAAGTGGCCAGGGATTTAGCTCAGTGGCACTGCACCTGCCTTGCAAGTGCAAGTCTGGAGTTTGACTGCTGGTACCAAGAAAAAGCAAACCCCAAACAACAAAAGACACAATGTAAGGGCAAAAACTAGAATTGGCTAAACTGAATTTCTATTGTATAATCTTATGGAAAACAATTTTTTTTTTTTTGGTACTGGCAATCGAACTCAGGACCTTGTGCTTGCCAGGCAGGAGCGGTGCCACTGATGCTGTCCCCAGAGCCTCCAGCAGCCTGATACACACTCACCACGCAGAACTCCAGGGCTCAGGATGAGATCCAGGACTTTTTTGCAGATTGCCATTCTCTCCCTTTGAGGCAGGCACGGTGCCACTGAGCTATATCCCCGGTCCCTGTTCTCTCCCTTTGAGAAACAGCTCCCCCAGGCCACTGGGCCCTGGTGGATGCGGAGCACCTAACCAAGAACCAAGTGTGGCCTGGACTGCCGTCACCAACTGGGTGTTGTCTGATTCACCAAGCCTGTGATAGAGAACCTTTTAGAGCTTTCAGTGATAACATACGGCTGGCTGTGGCAAGGGTGCCATAGGTTCGCCACCACTGCACTAAGCCAATGGAGGTGTGGTCAGTGTAGCCCGGAAGCAGGAAGTGACCAGCTTGCAGAAAGGGACACAGTGGACATTTTGCCTCACTTTGAAAAAAGAGTGAGATCATCTTTGTTGTACAAGGGGTAGTTGTATCTTGTTATGTGGAAGCATATATTTTTAAATCATTGTGTGGAAGTTCAAGTAATATGTAGACCCAAGCATACACAAGCTTGAGTTTCCCTAGGGATGGGCTGAGCTGGTCCTGATATTGTCATCTCTCAGCCCCACACCCCACCTCCCTATTCCGCTGCAGGGGCCAGGACTCTGCAAAGGACATTTCTCCTTTCCCAGCTGCTCCCAGCACTGCTGAGAATGAAGGATGGAGAGGCGAGAGGAAAGCTTTGCCAGTGAAACCACCGCCACGCTGCTGCACGGGCTGGTTCTGGGAGAATGTTCCCTTCTTACAGCTTTTCCACAGTCCTCAGAGTAGCCGAAGTCCTCAGACAGCAGCACCAACCCACTGCCATCTCCCTCTCAGCAGGTCCTCCTCCCACGCTGCATTTTTGTAATTCAGACTCTTCCCATTGCTCCTACCCTGGAAGCAGCAACTGCACTTGCAGTGGGACCCTCCTCCTGCCTGACTCCAGGTCACTTGGTGCTGTGTCCACCCCTCCTGAGTGGACTCCCACTGACACGGGGTGTGTGGGCATCTCTTCCCGGCTATCGGCCTTGCACAGGAAGGGGTCATCTAAGGCAGTGGTGGTAAACCTATGGCTTGCATGCTGCAGTGGGCACATAGAACCCTCTGTTGGCACCCAAGCCAAGTTGCCCCATCAGCCAGCCAAGCATTGGATAACAGTTGTTTTTCTTAGCTAAAAGCTCAGTACTCAGGTTTAATCGCAGTGTTGGCACTTTTCCATAATGGGTGGGTTTTGGGTTGCAGTGTGGCGCTCTTCTCCAGAGGGTTCACCATCACTGACCTAAGGCCTTTAAGGCTCCACCCCTGCCTGGTGCCATGTTTTTTCTTCATCCTCTTTTTTGCAGAGAAAATGGACGCCTTGCCACTTTTCACTTCCAGGAAGATTTCTCTTCCAAAGCAGCACATGCTCCTCCCCTTGTCCTTCCAGCTCCCTGGTGGGCAGCCCATCTGTCCCCACCTTCTGTTCCTCAGCACCCTCTGAGGCCTTTCAGATTCAGGAAGGGAAAGGGAGGGAGAAGGCCCAACACCCTCAGGCAGTTGCAGCAGCACAGAGAACTCTGCAAGCTGCCCTGGAGGATGGGGCAGGGAGCCCACCCCACCTCCTGGGACCAGCTTGACAATCATCAATGGGAAGTGGCAGTGATGGCAAATATAGTTGAGGTTCAAGACTCAGACGTTTGTTTCATATCTTTATTGACCCCCCCGAAGTCACAGCATTTGAGATTTTGTTCAGACACATGAACAGTAACAGAGGGTGCCCACAAGTGGCAGCTATGGTCCCAAAGGTCTGGATCGAAGGGTATGCTGGTGGGCATGGGTGGCCCTTCAGCCCTACTCAGCATCTCTGTTGCTTCCAACCCACGCCTTGCTGACACTGAAGAGCAATTATGATTGTGCAGAAAGTAAGTCACTCCAGAGGAGGCTGGCCCCACCTCACACCCAGGAAAAGGGCCAGGTTCTGCAGAGCAGACAAAGGCGGTGCTGGCTCAGCACTCTGGATGGTGGCCCAGACCTGAGGCAGAGATACTCCCCACATGGCAGGCCTGGGGAGCCAGGGAGCATGGGTCACTGTTCACATTGCACCCCTAAACTAATGGGAGTGAGGGCAGATCTCCCTCTGCAGTGACCAGCCGGAATCCCTACGGGAGAAGGCTGTCAAGCAAGAATATGGGCATGGATCACAAGGGCTCAGGTACAGTACCTCACAGCAAAGACCTTCCATTTCAACGCCCAGCTGCCGGCTCTAAGCAGACCAGGCAGCTGTTCTGGGTTTGTGCATATTTGCCATCGGAGGTTGATTGTGTCAGGAAGAATTCCCTGCAGTACTCTTCTTTATTTTCATAGTGTTAAGGGTTGTGCGGCTCTCAGAACTTGCTGAACAAAATCACTTGAGGTCCCCAGTGCTTGCAGCCCCTGGTTGTTTGTGGACAATTCTTTACATGACTCCCTAGGCCACTGAAAGCATTTTCATAATTGCATTACAATAATAAAGGTAATTTTAAAAAAGCTTAATATTCAAGTATAAGTCACTATTCAAACTCCCTACTGTTTATTTCTTTGAATCAATAGTCATCAAATAAAAGCTACTTCCCACAAACCTGAAAAACAAACTGCCCTTTGACTTCTGGGGTACAGAGCTGCAGGGAAGAGGGACCTGCAACAGCTGTCTCTAGGAGGCAGGGTATGCCTGTTTCCCAGAGCGCTTGGCCTGATGAGCTGTGGGAGTCCGGAAAGTTCAATGAAAGCAACACCGCCTTCATGAGGTACCTGCCCAGGATCTAACACCCCTCCAACTCCTTCTCGCTGAACTTGGTGCTAAAGCTGAGGCTGGGGCCAGGGCATCAACTCTTCCTGGACCCCTGCTTGGTGCTGACCGTCAGGGATGCTCTGGGGAAGCAGAGGGACAAGGGCCTGCTCAAGTGGGTGCAAGGCCTCACACGAAGTGCTTCTCTCAGAATGACAACACTCCATTTAGCCAAAGCTCCCTCTCCCAATGTCCTCTGTCCTATGCTGGGCACAGCCATAATTCCTGCTATCTCTGCTTTTCCTGGACTACACCCAAATCTTTCTGTGTGTGCAACAGACATGACAGACGGATGGGAGGAATGACTGCTTCTTCTTTTT